TATATATATATATATTAATTAAATTAATTAATTCAAATTAAAGCCCTAAAAATAATCCCCTATTTCATCACCTATGACGGTAATCTACACTAGTATATATATATATATATATATATATATATATATATATATATATATATATATAGATAGATAGATAGATAGATAGATAGATAGATAGATATTTAGTTTATGAAAAACTAGGTAATCCGTATGGGTAAACACAAGGAGGATAAAAATCCAGAGAGCTCAATGTAAACCCAGAGCAAATAATTTAAATAAAAACAGACCTCTTTAAGTTTCCATGTAATAAATTATTTCACCACAGCCCTTTTAAAGAACTGCGGATCATCAGACTTTACTTCCAAAGGTTGAAACGAAAAATTAAAAGAAATTTATACATTTTTGACGGGCTGTATTAAGCATATGTAAATTAACGAAGTGAAGAATTCAGAAAAAAATATATATATATATATATATATATATATATATATATATATATATATATTCTTTTCTGAATTATATATATATATATATATATATATATATATATATATATATCCGATGCAATGAGAACGAAAGTAATATATAAATTCTAACGTTCACAGCATTAATTCAAATGAGGACTCGATACCGATAGTAGAGCGATAATTATTTATTATAATTTTATCATATAGACAAAAACAGTTTACTTACTACAAAGATGCAACTTTGTTTCGGTGCATTTCAATTGCACCTCGACTGTTTTTTTTTCCTTTAGCTTGTTTTTTTTTTTATATATAAAAACCAAAAAAAAAACATTCCCAATTATTACTATAATCGTTAGAATTTATTACTAGCAGTAAGTACTGTCAAGCATCCGTTCAGTATAATTTTCTGGGGGCGCTTTTCTTTTCATGGAACTGGTTTCTTAAAACCTATTGAAAAGACCCTCAGGAGCGAGCAGTACAAGAGAATTTTAGAGTCTTGTCTGCTCTCTTCTGCTGAAAGGGTGAGAATCGACCCCACCAAGCTCATTTTTATGCAGGATAATGCTCCCTGTCACAAATAAAAATTGATAAAGGAATACTTTGATGAGAAGCAGGTGAGTGTTATGACATGGCCGCCCCAATCTCCTGACCTCAACCCCATAGAAAAGTTATGGAGCATTATAAAGTACAAGCTCTCATGAAAGCAGTTGAGCAGAAGAGAGCAGACATGACTCTAAAATTCTCTTGTTCTGCTGGCTCCTGTGGGTCTTTTCAATAGGTTTTAAGAAACCAGTTCCATGAAAAGAAAAGAATCCCCAGAACATTATACTGAACGGATGCTTGACAGTACTTACTGCTAAATTCAAAGAGCTTTCAAAGCTTCTTCCTCGGATTTTAGATCGCTTATCTTTTGAATTTAGCTGAACTTTCGTTTCATCGAAGAAGAGAACATTTAGTAAAAAAAAAATCAGGTGAGTCACTTATATCGAACAGCACTATATATATATATATATATATATATATATATATATATATATATATATATATATATATGGTGTATTAAAAATAATTGGGACGAACTTCGGGGCGGGTTCATCACAACAAAACAAGTACATCTAAATATATGTTCATAAATCCTTCTATTTTTTGGAATTATTAAATTTAAAGTTTATGGTAGACACTGTTAAATGTAAAATCCAAGATACAATCCAAAAATACTTTTACAAACTTTGGCGTCAGGTTTCTCACACCAAAACAACGTTAAATGTCCATATAAAAATAGGTGCAAAGGCCATCGCTGTACCTCAACCGAGCTACTAATAGAAAATTTTCAAAATGTTCTACGCGCGCATGCACCCGTCAGATCATTGACTGGCGGACCCTTTCAAATATTCTCACACAGTGTCGAATGGTTTTGTAGGCTTCCATAACACATTGATGAAGCGTCTGTACATTACTAATGTCTGCGGCATAATCCAGTTTTTTTTAGGTGCTCCCCAATATAAAAAGCCAAAGGACTGAGATGGGGTGGACCGTTCAGGCCATGGAAGCGGTTCTCTCCTACATATCCATCTTTCATGGTACATATCAGCCACTACATAGCGAACTAAGTGACTAAAATATCCTGGGGACCCATCATATATAAACCACATGCGTCTTCACATTAGCAGGGGTAAATCCTCTAGGGGGGGATGTGAAGTGTGTTTGAAATAAATTCTCTGTAGAGCGTTCCTGTAAGACGTACTGGGAGAACATATGTAAGAAGTGTTTCAAGGTAAGTAGTATTTTAAACAGTAAATGAACAGAAGAGAGTGACACGACTTGAGAGTGTGCTAGTACACTGATAATATCGGTTCTCTGAGCCCGTAGGCTCGGCCAAAATATTCCCTTACAACCCTCATAAGCGGGTTTAGGGCCTGTCTACCTTCGCGGACGAAACTTTGCCCTTCGGCGAAGCCTCGTCCGGGTATCTCTCCGCTCAAGGCAGAGAGTTTGACAGTTGAACAGTTTTGAGCACTGTTCCGTGCGAGTACACTGATCTCCCAAGACTTAATCTCCAACCAGTTTTATACTCAGTGGAAGAGTCTACAATCGACTCATTGGAGGGAGGACGCCACAACAGCAATAAACCATCGGCAAAAGTTCTCCTGTGGTGAGTGATCAGAGAGCGAAAGTCACTGCACACGTTGCAGATGATACGGATACAGGAGCTACACTTGAAGTACCCCACCTATGCGGTGTTTTTGAGATGTACGACATGCTAGTACCACTTGATGTATGCTGATACCTGGATCGACTCCGACAGTCTGTAGAATGTGTTCTTCGTGGTCATGCGTACGAGCGGATCTCGGTCTTCCTCGATCCATAATTTGTGCTGCCATGGATCCTCTCTCGGGAACGCGACGATAAACAGCAGCAAAGGTTGGATGACTCGTCTGCATTCTGTCTGGAAACGCAATCTAATACAGCCGTTCAGCCACACGTACATTACCATTCGCACGGTCCTATGTAAAAATCATATCTGCCTGCTCAAAAAAATGGGTTTCAGCGAGTATTACACGTGGGTCTTGTTGAAGGTCTTGTTGAAGGTCTAGTTTTCTACGATCCTTGTGGACTGGCGCTACAGAATCACATACAAATAACTCTACCAAGCTATATAAACGACATCATTCAAGTGGTGCGACAACTAAAATGGGTAGGAAATGTAAGTTGAAAAGAAGCTAATGACATAATCAAGATGTTGGCATTCCACAATACTTCAAACAAAGGGTTAGGAAATAAACTCCCATCAATAATGGAATGATTGATAACATCTACTAGACTTGGTAAATCTATTTTCCTGATTTTTTTTCAGGGGAAGATTTTATCAATTCCAACCGACTGTTTGGTAAATGAATGTTAAATATTTCATTCATTGTTAAATGAAGATTTTCAACCGAAATTATTAAATTTGCTTCCAAAGTACTTTGATATGCTGCGGTATTCATTCTACCATCTATTAATGATAGGTTACCAGTACCTTTTGCAGAAAAACATCCCAAAACCAATGTTTATATTGCTATTACCATCCGTTCATGTGGAGAAAG